GGTGGTTGTTGTGGTGGTGGTGGTTGTGGTGGTGGTTGTGGTGGTGGTGGTGGTTGTGGTGGTGGTGGTTGTGGTGGTGGTGGTGGTTGTTGTGGTGGTGGTGGTGGTTGTGGTGGTTGTCGTGGTGATTGTGGTGGTTGTGGTGGTGGTTGTTGCCGTGGTGGTTGTGGTGGTGGTTGTTGTAGTGGTGGTTGTGGTGGTTGTGGTGATGGTTGTTGCCGTGGTTGTGGTGGTGGTTGTGGTAATGTTGGTGGTTGTTGTAGTGATGGTGGTGGTTGTGGTGGTGATGGTGGTGGTGGTGGTGATGAGGGTGGTGGTTTTGGTTGTGGTGGTGGTTGTGGTAATGTTGGTGGTTGTTGTAGTGATGGTGGTGGTTGTGGTAATGTTGGTGGTTGTTGTAGTGATGGTGGTGGTTGTGGTAATGTTGGTGGTTGTTGTAGTGATGGTGGTGGTTGTGGTAATGTTGGTGGTTGTTGTAGTGGTGGTGATGGTGGTGGTGATGAGGGTGGTGGTTTTGGTTGTGGTGGTTGTGGTAATGTTGGTGGTTGTTGTAGTGATGGTGGTGGTTGTGGTAATATTGGTGGTAGTTGTAGTGATGGTGGTGATTGTGGTAATGTTGGTGGTTGTTGTAGTGATGGTGGTGGTTGTGGTAATATTGGTGGTAGTTGTAGTGATGGTGGTGATTGTGGTAATGTTGGTGGTTGTTGTAGTGGTGGTGATGGTGGTGGTGATGAGGGTGGTGGTTTTGGTTGTGGTGGTTGTTGTGGTAATGTTGGTGGTTGTTGTAGTGATGGTGGTGGTTGTGGTAATGTTGGTGGTTGTTGTAGTGATGGTGGTGGTTGTGGTAATGTTGGTGGTTGTTGTAGTGATGGTGGTGGTTGTGGTAATGTTGGTGGTTGCTGTGATAGTGATGAGGGTGGTGATGATGATTGGTTTTCCCACCTGATGATGATTGCTTGTGTTGCAATCGAAACGTCGTGAGAATTTTATAGATTTATTTTTTTATTATTTTATTATTTCCCATCGACGTGACTTTACTGAAAGAACCAAGAATATGAAATGCCAATTATGTTGTAAAGTTACATTCACGCTCAAACTTGAGTGATTTTAATAATAAAAAATAATAATAAATAAGGTAAGAGATGGCAGAGTGGAGATGCCAAGAAACGAAATTTAGATGTTTCAAAACTTTGGGACAGCTAGATTAAATGGTTTTGATAAAAAACAAATTGCATGCAACTGTTAACAATCAGACTCACACAGAAACCCACAGACTCACACAGACACCTGTAGACTCACACAGACACCCACAGACTCACACAGACACCTGTAGACTCACACAGACACCCGTAGACTCACACAGACACCCACAGACTCACACAGACACCTGTAGACTTACACAGACACCCACAGACTCACACAGACACCCACAGACTCACACAGACAGCCACAGACTCACACAGACACCCATAGACTCACACAGACACCCACAGACTCACACAGACACCCACAGACTCACGCAGACACCCACAGACTCACACAGACACCCACAGACTCACACAGACACCCACAGACTCACACAGACACACACAGACTCACACAGACACCCACATACTCACACAGACACCCACAGACTCACACAGACATCCACAGACTTACACAGACATCCACAGACTCACACAGACACACACAGACTCACACAGACACCCACATACTCACACAGACACCCACAGACTCACACAGACACCCACAGACTCACACAGACACCAACAGACTCACACAGACACCCACAGACTCACACAGACACCCACAGACTCACACAGACACCCACAGACTCACACAGACACACACAGACTCACACAGACACCCACATACTCACACAGACACCCACAGACTCACACAGACACCCACAGACTCACACAGACTCACACAGACATCCACAGACTTACACAGACACCCACAGACTCACACAGACACACACAGACTCACACAGACACCCACATACTCACACAGACACCCACAGACTCACACAGACACCCACAGACTCACACAGACACCAACAGACTCACACAGACACCCACAGACTCACACAGACACCCACAGACTCACACAGACACCCACAGACTCACACAGACACACACAGACTCACACAGACACCCACATACTCACACAGACACCCACAGACTCACACAGACATCCACAGACTTACACAGACACCCACAGACTCACACAGACACACACAGACTCACACAGACACCCACATACTCACACAGACACCCACAGACTCACACAGACACCCACAGACTCACACAGACACCAACAGACTCACACAGACACCCACAGACTCACACAGACACCCACAGACTCACACAGACACACACAGACGCACACAGACACCCACAGACTCACACAGACACCCACAGACTCACACAGACACCCACAGACTCACACAGACATCCACAGACTTACACAGACACCCACAGACTCACACAGACACCCACATACTCACACAGACACCCACAGACACCCACAGACTCACACAGACTCACACAGACACCCACAGACTCACACAGACACCCACAGACTCACACAGACACACACACAGACTCACACAGACACCCACAGACTCACACAGACATCCACAGACTTACACAGACACCCACAGACTCACACAGACACCCACAGACTCACACAGACACCCACAGACACCCACAGACTCACACAGACACCCACAGACTCACACAGACACCCACAGACTCACACAGACACCCACAGACTCACACAGACACCCACAGACTCACACAGACACCCACAGACTCACACAGACACCCACAGACTCGCACAGACACCCACAGACTTACACAGAAACCCACAGACTCACACAGACACCCACAGACGCACACAGACACCTGTAGACTTACACAGACACCCACAGACTCACACAGACACCCGCAGACTCACACAGACACCCACAGACTCACACAGACACCCACAGACTCACACAGACACCTGTAGACTCACACAGACACCCACAGACTCACACAGACACCCACAGAATCACACAGAAACCCACAGACTCACACAGACACCCACAGACTCACACAGACACCCACAGACTCACACAGACACCCGTAGACTTACACAGACACCCGCAGACTCACACAGACACCCACAGACTCACACAGACACCCACAGACTCACACAGACACCTGTAGACTCACACAGACACCCACAGACTCACACAGACACCTGTAGACTCACACAGACACCCACAGACTCACACAGACACCCACAGACTCACACAGACACCCACAGACTCACACAGACACCCACAGACTCACACAGACACCCACAGACTCACACAGACACCTGTAGACTCACACAGACACCCACAGACTCACACAGACACCCACAGAATCACACAGAAACCCACAGACTCACACAGACACCCACAGACTCACACAGACACCTGCAGACTCACACAGACACCCACAGACTCACACAGACACCCACAGACTCACACAGAAACCCACAGACTCACACAGACACCCACAGACTCACACAGACACCCACAGACTCACACAGAAACCCACAGACTCACACAGACACCCACAGACTCACACAGACACCCACAGACTCACACAGACACCCACAGACTCACACAGACACCCACAGACTCACACAGACACCCACAGACTCACACAGACACCTGTAGACTCACACAGACACCCACAGACTCACACAGACACCCACAGAATCACACAGAAACCCACAGACTCACACAGACACCCACAGACTCACACAGACACCCACAGACTCACACAGACACCCGTAGACTTACACAGACACCCGCAGACTCACACAGACACCCACAGACTCACACAGACACCCACAGACTCACACAGACACCTGTAGACTCACACAGACACCCACAGACTCACACAGACACCTGTAGACTCACACAGACACCCACAGACTCGCACAGACACCCACAGACTCACACAGACACCCACAGACTCACACAGACACCCACAGACTCACACAGACACCCACAGACTCACACAGACACCTGTAGACTCACACAGACACCCACAGACTCACACAGACACCCACAGAATCACACAGAAACCCACAGACTCACACAGACACCCACAGACTCACACAGACACCTGCAGACTCACACAGACACCCACAGACTCACACAGACACCCACAGACTCACACAGAAACCCACAGACTCACACAGACACCCACAGACTCACACAGACACCCACAGACTCACACAGAAACCCACAGACTCACACAGACACCCACAGACTCACACAGACACCCACAGACTCACACAGACACCCACAGACTCACACAGACACCTACAGACTCACACAGACACCCACAGACTCACACAGAAACCCACATACTCACACAGAAACCCACAGACTCACACAGACACCCACAGACTCACACAGAAACCCACAGACTCACACAGACACCCACAGACTCACACAGAAACCCACAGACTCACACAGACACCCACAGACTCACACAGACACCCACAGACTCACACAGAAACCCACAGACTCACACAGACACCCACAGACTCACACAGACACCCACAGACTCACACAGACACCCACAGACTCACACAGACACCCACAGACTCACACAGACACCCACAGACTCACACAGACACTCGTAGACTCACACAGACACCCACAGACTCACACAGACACCCACAGACTCACACAGACACCTGTAGACTCACACAGACACCCACAGACTCACACAGACACCTGTAGACTTACACAGACAATCAGACACACATCGCAGATTTTAGGATTGTCCAAAGGTTTAATAATACGTAAAGAGCAGATCTATCGACAAATACCCTTGTAAATAAAAATAGGTTTTACCCTGTCTGCAAACAAAACAGGTGTTAAGATTTTCAAACACCAAATTGATACCTTTTGCAAGAAATCACTTCTGCTTTAGCCCACACGTGCTTGTGGTGAACACGTTGTTTCACAATGTGATCATGGGAAACAAAGGTCCCATTATAAAATAGCACGTGTGGTTGATGCAGACCTGACGTTTGTGCTCACATATCCCACAAGAATGACTTAAAAATACCTTGCAATAGGTTCCTGTTTGCAAATCGGACTTTATTATTTTCAATGTATTGCTTAGGAATCGATTACCTTTAATGAAGTTTACACTCCCTGTCTGTTTTTTTAAATGTACATTGAACTTATTTCACAGCGTACATGACCAACTGTGCATTTTGTTTCGTTGGGAACTTTTTTGACCCGCTTAGATCGGACGTCTTTGAACAAAAAGATATTAATAGCTCACCGGATGCCTCCAGAAGACAGATTCTCACGATGAAGATTCCGATCGTAACGCCTCGCGTGTTACTGCCGACGGGGGTAAAGCCTTTTCTTCAGCGTATTTATTTAATCAAACACGTGACGTGAACCATGATGCCAGTACATAATGGCCTACTTGTGAAATTTTACGTGAAAGTGAGAGGAACTTCAACGTCCATTGTGAAGCAGACGGTACACGTTGGTGCGATCAATAAGCCTGCAATATTTAAAAAAAACGTAACATTTGTAAAATGCTGCATTTCATCCGTAGATCCCACCAGTTCGTGCCGTGTATGGAAAGTATTAAATACACAGAACCTGCAGGATGAACGTCCAGAAATCAAGGTGGGGTAAAAGACGATTTACCCACTGACTCAATCACCCACTCACTCGATAAGCCACTCACCCACCCATCCACCCACTCGCTCACTCACCCCCTCGATAACCCATTTGCTCACGCACTCACTCACCCACCCATTTACTCACTCACCAACTCCCTCAGGGAACGCTCCGATTGGTGACATTTCTACGGCACTGGGCTCAGGCTGCGCTGAACTGCGTGCGAACAAAACCTGCCCTGCCATCGAGATGGGGGGAAGCTTCCACAGTCTGTGTTAATTTACTACCAGAATGAGCCAAGAATGTCTGTGTGCCCCGCACGTGACGTCACTAATAATCATGAAAAGGTGACGTCCTCCAAATGGACACCACCCCCCCACCTCCATTAATAATAATTAGCGGGTGACTTCACTCCACATGGGAGGGGTGAGGGCGAGGCGCCTCCTCCCCCCCTCCTCAGCGTCAACTCACAACCCTCACTACAAAGGCAGAGCCCTCATCACGTTGTCACGTGATCTCCGTCACGCCGTTGTTGAGACGTAGAAATAAAAAGGACGTCGTGATGAACAATGGATTAAAACCTTCAAATGAAACGGGTCTGTCAAATGAGGCCTTACAAATTGCACACGAATGGATGCAATGAATGTCGCGTCGCGGTCTGTGCTTTTCGCTTGCAAGTTTCAGATTCACTGCAATACGCTCGTCCTTGGACGGGCAAAAGGCTAGTTGATAATAATGGCTTCTGTTGTGTGTGGTAGTGTAAGCTTCAGCCTGCGGCACTATGAACCTGGTGACACGAGTTTGATTCCCACACACGGCCACCAACACCAGTGACTTATTTTTTACTGGCCCTGGACTTCCACTGGGTCGACTCGGACTCCCGAGAGTACCTCGTGCAGTGTGTAAACATTGCCACTGGGGAAACAAAGGCAGTCGGCTGTGGTGCAGGCATTACACCCGCTTTTGAACTGAAGGCTATAATTGGGGATCTTTGTCTTTCTTGCGTGTAACTATATGTACCTGTGTGCCTCGGTATATGCTTACGTGTGTTAACGTGTGTTTTATATCTTGACTTAAGGCTTTCGTGACTGCAGGAATTCACACTGTTTGGGTCTTTCGGTAAAGCCACGTAGATAGAAAAATAATTTTTTAAAAATATCGCTCCGTTTCGATCGCAACACAAGCAATCGTCATCAGGTGAAAAAATATAAATGTAGCGGGAGAGCTGCTGAGGCAGGATGTTATATAGGTTTGAGATGGGTTTAGCCCAAGGGTAAGTGGGTGGGGCCAGAGATGGAACTTGCATGTCAATGTAAGATCGGATTAGCTGATATACCTTCACGACGACGCGGCTGTGGAGGTGGCCGTTGTATTGCGAGAGATTAGCATGTCAGTGTGTTGAGGAGTTCCCGACGACGACTCGGAGACGGCTTGAAGGTTAAGGGCTTTGCGCCAAAGGTTTTATTACAAATCTCTAACATTACACGAAGGGTGTGACAACTTCCCAGGGGGTTAGGGGTCCTACACTAAGTCCTGGTCCAGCCCGGCTTGCTCCGGTCTCTCTCCCTCGAGTCGGATGGTGGGAACTTTGCCAACCCCACCGACCGGGAAGAGCGGCAACCTCCTACGGCTAGCACCGGCTTCACCCCAGACTCTCGTCGATCCCTCTCTACCCCTGGTTCCCTCTCCACCCTTCTCACTCTACCCGTTCCCACAGTGACACCACTTCTGACACCAGTTGTTGAGGAGTTCCCGACGACGACTCGGAGACGGCTTGAAGGTAAGGGCTTTCGCCAAAGGTTTATTAAGTGTATTACAATAGCACAAAGGGTGTGACAACTTCCCAGGGGTTAGGGGTCCTACACTAAGTCCTGGTCCAGCCCGGCTAGCTCCGGTCTCTCTCCCTCGAGTCGGATGGGGGCACTTTGCCAACCCCACCGACCGGGAAGAGCAGCACCTCCTACGGCTAGCACCGGCTTCACCCCAGACTCTCGTCGATCCCTCTCTACCCCTGGTTCCCTCTCCACCCTTCTCACTCCACCCGTTCCCACAGTGACCCCGCTTTCGTCACGGGGTCCCCCTTAAATACTAGAGGAGACGTGACATCATCGAGCCGCCCAGCGCGCACGACGCCACGTTCCGTGACGTCATCGCACCGGACGGCACACATGACGTCACGTCCCCATTTTACTCCTCGACAAATGTAAGCGAACCGCCGCAACGGTGGCTTGGGCTCGTGAGACATCCAGCTCGTTCAAAAACGAGGGACACCGCCGACTCGAGAACAAGGAGCAACGGTGGCTGTGTTAGTGACGTTTCGTAGGTCAGTCCATGCTGATGTACCGGCCCTGGTTAGACGCTGCCTCACCAACACTTACTTCACCTGGAATGGAACATTCTACAAACAAATTGAAGGTATAGTAATAGGTTTTACCCTTTTAGCTGGCACAAAAAAACTGACACCTTTATTCAAGGCATCGTGTCTGTTGAAGGAACTCCAATGGGTTCGCCCCTTTTCTCCAGCTGGGGCCAATGTTTTCATGGAAAAATTTGAGACAGATGCCATTCAGGCATCCACCCTACGTCCTCCCTTGTGGGAGAGATGCGTAGATGACACGTTCGTCATCTGGCCACATGGCCTACCGGCGCTGGGCCCAATTCTTCAACCACATCAATTCCATACACCCAGCCATCAAATTCACCATGGAGGTGGAAAAGGATGGCAAGTTTTCCATTCTTGGATGTGTGAATCGAAAAGAGACCATATGGCTCCATGGGACACTGTCTACAGGAAAGCCACCCATACGGATGCCTACCTAAAACCTGACTCCAACCACCGTCCATCCCAGAAGAACTCCCTCATCAAAACTCTATACCATAGAGCTCATTGTATTTCCAACTGTCATCACCTAGCCAGTGAACTGGAACACGTACACCAAGCCCTCAAGATGAATGGATATTCGGACTGCACAATCCGTAAAGCCATCACCCCAACCGTTGGGAAAGAACCATCCGAGGACCCAATTAAACCCATCGCCACACATAGCAGGGGTTACCCAAAAGATTTCCAAAATCATGCGCAAACACAAGATCCAGGTTCGATTCAACACAATACATACAATTCGTGATCTGATCCCATCTGTGAAGGATGCGATCCCTGACGTACAATACCCTGGTGTCTACAAACTAAGCTGTGTCTGCGGCAGTAGTTACTTTGGGGAAACTAAGCGACATGTCTCGGACCATGTTTGTGAACATAAGGCAGATCTGAAATACGGTAGGACCAATTCCTCAGCCGTGGCTGATCATGTTTTAATGCTATGGGCACACACAAAATTGATTTTTCCCAGACGAAGGTACTCTGCAAACCAACTGGCTATCAACAAAGATTCGTTCATGAAGCCATCCAGATATATAAAAACACAGACACAATTTCAACCGAGAAGATGGGTACAAACTGAGCAACCATTGGAAGGACGTTATTCATCAGTTTAAGTCATAACTGGCTGTGATGTTTCCATCCTACCTGCCGATGTCAGCAGTCATTTCTGACTCCTGAGTTACGTGCACGCTAAATGTCTCACTAACGCAGCCACCGTTGCTCCTTGTTCTCGAGTCGGCGGTGTCCCTCGTTTTTGAACGAGCTGGATGTCTCACGAGCCCAAGCCACCGTTGCGGCGGTTCGCTTACATTTGTCGAGGAGTAAAATGGGGACGTGACGTCATGTGTGCCGTCCGGTGCGATGACGTCACGGAACGTGGCGTCGTGCGCGCTGGGCGGCTCGATGACGTCACGTCTCCTCTAGTATTTAAGGGGGACCCCGTGACGAAAGCGGGGTCACTGTGGGAACGGGTAGAGTGAGAAGGGTGTGGAGAGGGAACCACGGGTAAAGAGGGATCGACGAGAGTCTGGGGTGAAGCCGGTGGTAGCCGTAGGAGGTGCTGCTCTTCCCGGTCGGTGGAGTTGGCAAAGTTCCCACCATCCGACTCAAGGGAGAGAGACCGGAGCTAGCCGGGCTGGGCCAGGACTTAGTGTAGGACCCCTAACCCCCTGGGAAGTTGTCACACCATTCGTGTTATTGTAATACACTTAATAAACCTTTGGCGAAAGCCCTTACCTTCAAGCCGTCTCCGAGTTGTCGTTGGGAACTCCTCAACAACTGGTGTCAGAAGTGGGGTCACTGTGGGAACGGGTGGAGTGAGAAGGGTGGAGAGGGAACCAGGGGTAGAGAGGGATCGACGAGAGTCTGGGGTGAAGCCAGTGCTAGCCGTAGGAGGTGCTGCTCTTCCCGGTCGGTGGAGTTGGCAAAGTTCCCACCATCCGACTCAAGGGAGAGAGACCGGAGCTAGCCGGGCTGGGCCAGGACTTAGTGTAGGACCCCTAACCCCCTGGGAAGTTGTCACACCATTCGTGTTATTGTAATACACTTAATAAACCTTTGGCGAAAGCCCTTACCTTCAAGCCGTCTCCGAGTTGTCGTTGGGAACTCCTCAACAACTGGTGTCAGAAGTGGGGTCACTGTGGGAACGGGTGGAGTGAGAAGGGTGGAGAGGGAACCAGGGGTAGAGAGGGATCGACGAGAGTCTGGGGTGAAGCCAGTGCTAGCCGTAGGAGGTGCTGCTCTTCCCGGTCGGTGGGGTTGGCAAAGTGCCCCCATCCGACTCGAGGGAGAGAGACCCGAGCTAACCGGGCTGGACCAGGACTTAGTGTAGGACCCCTAACCCCCTGGGAGTGTTCACCCTTTGTGTAATGTTAGAGATTTGTAATAAAACCTTTGGCGCAAAGCCCTTAACCTTCAAGCCGTCTCCGAGTCGTCGTCGGGAACTCCTCAACACACTGACATGCTAATCTCTCGCAATACAACGGCCACCTCCACAGCCGCGTCGTCGTGAAGGTAGCTCAGCTCTCCGATCTTACATTGACATGCAAGTTCCATCTCTGGCCCCACCCACTTACCCTTGGGCTAAACCCATCTCAAACCTATATAACATCCTGCCTCAGCAGCTCTCCCGCTAATATTTTTTTTCACCTGATGACGATTGCTTGTGTTGCGATTGAAACGGCGTGATATTATTTTTTAAATTGATTTTCTATCTACGTGGCTTTACCGAAAGACCCAAAGAATGTGTGTTTTATGTAACTGCGAGTGTGACCTAACATTTAACCTTCTTTTTCTTTGTATTTTTACACTCTTTCTTGCTAGTGATTTTATAGAGCATGGTGTGTGAGCATCTTGGCGTGCTGGGTAGCCAACACACGTGTTTGTGTATTTGAATGTGCGTGTTTGTGCTTACGTATTTGTTATTTTTGCTGTGTCTTAAATAGTCTAGGAAGTAACCACCACCCCCTGTGAGTGGTTGGTTGGCGCACCATCTGTTGACTAAGTGTGGGGGGAAATCCTGAATCTAAAAGCAGTTTTAGCACTGGGCAGGATTGACCTCCAAAGGAAGCTGCTGAGGGAGGGTGGTGATTTTACACAGGTTCCAGTACAGAACATTATTACAACTGCACGGACCAAAGGATGATCTCTGCAGGATTGGACAGAGATCTAACGTTTGCCCACACTTATTGCCAGATGATGATTATTCAACGTTGGCTTGCCAAACCCGCTGAGAAGAAACTGGCAGAACCCCATTGTGGTTACCGGCTACAGCGCAGGTGTATGGATTTTTAGCAGAAACTAGATTCTTCGTGAAATTAAGGCCTATAGTACCATAAAGAGGCTTGGGGCTTTGGGTTGTTTACGATGTTACTACTGCTCTGGTCACACTTGTTGAGGATTTTTATGACTTTGGGCAGGCCCGGCTAAAGCTGCGTGACCAGGAGTCGGAGCCATTTCCTGTTCCAACTTTGCATGTGACAGGAATTACATCTGGCCCGAAACATTATATTGCATCGCATCTTCAATAATTGTGTATTTTGAGAAGGGCACAATGGCACTAAAATAAACATTCAGAACAGTTACAATGTGAGACTAAATGATGCCTGGTTATAGTTAAGGGGCAATTCCTTCTTGGTCAACCATATTATGTATGCTTATGATCTGGTAATGGCTACGCAATGAGAGTTAGGGACTATTGTTCTTCATAATAAAGGTTTTTGGGTTAGATCGCGTTTATTTATAAATGTGTCGTAACCCTCCACCACCCGACACGGCCAATCAGCAAAAAAGTGTCATGTTGACAAAAGACAATAGTTCACTACTTTAGCCCACCGGTGTGTTGAAGAGTGAATCCACATTTACAGTTTGAGTACGACGTTTCGCTGGTAAATACATCCAGCATCATCGGGCAATTCGCCAGAATGGTAAAGCCCTCGCTTGCTCCCGGTTTTACCATTCTGGCGAATTGCCCGATGATGCTGGATGTATTTACCAGCGAAACGTCGTACTACTCAAACTGTAAATGTGGATTCACTCTTCAACACACCGGTGGGCTAAAGTAGTGAACTATTTGTCTTTTGTCAACGTGACACTTTTTTTTGCTGATTGGCCGTGTCAGGTGGTGGAGGGTTACGACACATTTATAAATAACGCGATCTAACCCAAAAACCTTAATTATGAATAACATTGGTCGCGAAAGCCTACGTGTTAAACTATTGTTCTGTACCTGGAGAAATTCCATCACGAGGCGAGGTCTTGCATATGTTTCCCAAAAATAAAGCTACTGCCTGGATAGTCTTGTCATCCAACACGCCACCTGCTCAACTGTGCATGAGTAATCAGGCAGGTCGACACGTGTCTCATGCTTGGTTAATGTGTTCACGGCCAGCTCTGGTTTGGCAGCCAAAGTCTCACCTCAAATTAGGTCAAGCAGCAATCTTTCATTAGACTGTTTAACACTGTGCGGAAGCTGCCTGGATTTTTGCTCCAGGCAAAGCCACGGATATGACTCCTTTCTCTGTGGATTTCAATTATGAACTCCTTTTTAAAGGACTATCTGTGCTGGCGTATACAATTAAGGCTGGACTGCCTATGATCCCTTCTCTATTGAACTGGACTACATTGTATTGATTTAAAGCTTTCGTGACTGCAAAGCTTAAAGGTTGCGATCTGAGCTTGGCTTTTTCGCTCCAGCACTGTCCTCCAGACAGTCTCGTCCCTTCACCTGATGAAGGCCGCTTGTGTTGTGGCCGAAACGTCGTGAGAATTTTATTGTGTTATTTTATTTTATCAATTTATTATTTTATTCTCATTCTACGTGGTGACTTTACCGAAAGAACCAAAGAAGATGGACTACATTGTATTCGAAGTTTAATGTTTCGAACTCGACAAATTTTGGTGAAGTGAGGAAGCATTAATACTGACTGAGCAGATGAACGTGGCCAGGCGTGGTTCTGGACACACCACCACCTTTTTACCATGCCAGTGTGTGACAGTGTCAAGTTTGTATTTGCAGGAAAGTATATTAACTCTTTGGAACAGAGGTTAAATCAAAACAATAGTTTATTTTTTTGTTTTCCCCTGGAACTCTTTGTAAGGATGGAAACAGTCAGGAAATTAACACAGCACTTATGCAGCTGAAGTTAGATCTGTTCATCCAAGCATTCAAGCACATCTGAGCCTGGCTTCACACCTCTAAGTTGTGATTGAACATTAATTGATGCATTTCTAAATTTATGCATTGCAACACCCTTTGTTATGTTAGCTGAATTTAGCTTTTGTAAATATTCCTTTTGTTGCCAGACAGCCGAAATTGCATTCCTGGAGTTTTGGGTTAACATTCGTTTAGAAGATACTAGGGCTTCCAGGCATATGTGTAAGCCCATTTGCCCTCTCATTGTGTGCCTTAACAGCCTGTGCGATGAATTGGGGAATATCCTGAGTATACGAACACATATAGACGTATAAGCCACGTGTGACTGTGCACATATGCATTCCTCTGTGCCTCGATACTGACGTAGATGGTGTGGATATCCTCTTGTTTTCTGTCTGCAGCTGACTCTACCCCTGCCACTTTGCTCTGCAGAATTGGTCTGATGGAGCAAAGGCACTCGGCGCAGCTCTGTGCAAAAAGGCAACAATGCGACCGGTGTGCATACAGCACGGATCGTGCTGTGAACCTGATAGAGCACCAGAGAACACACACGGGAGAGAAACCCTTCAAGTGCAGCGCGTGTGAGATGGCATTTGCATGGTCATCGAATCTTAAAAAGCACGAGAGAACGCACACGGGAGAGAAACCCTTCAAGTGCGCTGTGTGTGGCAAGGCGTTTGCACGGTCATCAGTTCTTCAGAGCCACCAGAGAACACACACGGGAGAGAAGCCCTTCAAGTGCACCGTGTGCGATAAGGCGTTTTCACAGTCAACAATTCTTCAAAGCCACCAGAGAACACACACGGGAGAGAAACCCTTCACATGCAGTGTGTGTGGGAAGGCGTTTTCAGTTTCTGCTACTCTTAAAAATCACCAGAGAACACACACGGGAGATAAACCCTTCAAGTGTACTCTGTGCGGGAAGGCGTTTTCACAGTCGCCACATCTTCAAAGACACCAGATAACACACAAGCATCAGAGGACCCCGAATGAGTGGAGCCTGAAATCGGTTTGTGTAAGTCCAAGTGCTGCAATGAGCCCATCCCTCATGAAACAAGAACCAGAAGAAACCCCAGCACTGAACGGTATCAAGGTGAAATGTGAAGAGGTGAAGTGTGAAGAAGTGACAGTGGGGAGCGAAGAAGTGAAGATAAAATGTGAAGATGAAGATTCAAATCCACAATCGTACCTTCACATGGATGAAGGCGACGTGAAGCAGGAGGAGAATTCTGACTGTGAGGCAGAGCGAGGCAACTCCCAGCAGTTTGTGGAAGTCGAGGTGTGGGTGGACTTCTTAGACAATGCAAAGTCAAATGGAGACCCGGTAGATGTGGAAGCCTGAGACAATAAAGCTCCAATAGATTCATCTTTAACACGTAGGCTTTCGCGACCAATATTATTCATAATAAAGGTGTTTGGGTTAGATCGCAAATTGCCCGATGATGCTGGATGTATTTACCGGCGAAACGTCGTACTCAAACTGTAAATGTTGTGAATTCACTCTTCAACACACCGGTGGGCTAAAGTAGTGAATTATTTGTCTTTTGTCAACGTGACACTTTTTTTGCTGATTGGCCGTGTCGGGTGGTGGAGGGTTACGACACATTTATAAATAACGCCATCTGACCCAAAAACCTTTATTATGAATTATTATGGAGATTCATCTTTGTCACAGGCCTTTAATAAAAAAGAATGTGACTCAATTCCTAGGTTCAACCTGGAGAGTAAGATGCGGCCATTATTTGTGTGCCTGTGGGTTGGGTAGATGTCTAACCAGGAGCGGAGAGTCAATAAGCTCCCAAGCATTCACTATGCTATCATAATTGCATTCATATGGTGCTTGCTTAATTGCCTCTGCAACTCGGCGTTTTGTATAACATCTCATCACAACCGCTCGAAGAGCGCCCCCAAGTGGCAGCTGCCCCTGTGTGGCCCTGCGCCAGCCTGCATGTGGGCATGCGTCTGTCAGTAGGGGGCGACGATTGGTGTGCAAGCTCAATTGTGTAAATTGTGGGTAATGTTTTCGAACTTGACAAATTTTGAGCATGCAATGGCCCCCGTTTGAAACGACGCAAAAGTTTTCTTTGGTTTTTTTCGGTAAAGTCACGTAGAAATAATAAAAATAATAATAATTATATAATAGCATACCCTTTTTTATTATTTCTACGTGACTTTACCGAAAACAAAAACAAAGTAATTCCTGCAGTCACGAAAGCACCTAATCAAGTTCGACACAAAAGCATGTTTTACATCCACTGCTAAGCAGACGGCGCATATTTGCAATGAATGTTCCTGGACCAACCAGGGGTGCCTGTCGGATTTGAACCTTTAACCTCGGCAAAACAAAAAGAGGATGCACTACCACTTGGCTTCCCTTAATCTGAGTGCTGCAGGTGTTGGCCTCATCCAGACATAGATGAACTTCTTGTAAATGTAATATAACACGATGAAGTATATTTCGGCGCAGTAACGACATTTTTATCAACACGCCTGTCGATCTTTTCGAATTATAATTTAACGTACACTTGTCTGATTTTGTGTATATGCAGGTGTAATGACAGGGTGCCACCTGTCGGCCTGGAAGGGTAATTGCGGCTATGGGCAAGGTTAGGTAACAACTTATCATAATCGGGGGCGTATCTGGGCTAAGGGTAAAAGGTGGGGTTAGTAAGGAAGCTCCGTGAACCTGGATCAGTCATCAGTTACAAAAGCATACCACTTCAGAGTTATGTATAGGAGATACATTCTCCACTGACCTGCAACGGCAGACATGTGGACCTCAGTGCGGTCACCCGGGTCCCTCGCTGTGGCCCGCACCTCGGCTGAGAAACGGACGTAGGGCGAAGCTCTGGAGAGGTCCAGGCGGTTTAAAAACCGAAGCAGTTGGAGACAGAAGCAGTTGACGATAACCAGTTGAAGATAACCAGTTTAAGCAAGAAGACGCCGCTAGAGTAGGACTCTGAACCCCCCCACCCCTCTAGCTTCGGCGTCCTTTTAAGGGCCGAAGCTCTGTGATGGGGTCAGTGTTGGACCTGTACCTTGGCTGGGTCAGGTCGGGTAGTCTCGCATAGTTATATTATAGCCGGAGGGACCTGGAGCGTAGTCAGTTTAGGCACGCTACACATGAGGCGTATAGTACACCAAGTGGAAGAGGTCCTCAAGGCGAACTGCGTGAAGAACTGATGTATAGCGGTTAGGGTACGTGTGGATAATAAAGACGTGCTCCCCCCTCCTACGAAGTGTCTCCGGAGCAACACTACAAAGTTATGTATAGGAGATACATTCCCCACAACACGAATGATAATTTTGCATTACGTGTTTATGTAGGTTGTGTCGGACTAGGAGGACGAGACATGTCCCTTGCTGATTAACATCTGGATGTTTGTAACGATCGGTTGAAGCAAGCCGGGCTTCTGTTGAGACGCTGTACACCAATAACTGTCCACAGGTGGCTTGCAAAGAATCAATGGTGCACTCCCAGAAGACTGCCCTGTTTATAGTTTGTCTTAAACATTGCTTTGGTTCGTGCAGAGACCGATAAATGGAAGAGATGTCGTGTCTGCTGATCTGTTTCATAGCAAGGAGGTAATTTTAAGAGCACATTTGAAGTGAATTTTTGTTACAGATTTGTATTCCGTGACAAGGCAGAGCACATCGAGAGGATACGTTCTCCACAACAACACTAATTACACATCGGATTGGCTCCTGTTCACAATATATTTAAGTTTTTACATTTTACATCTATGTTTATTGTGTAGATAGTAGAGTTTTTCTCATAAATTGTAAAGCTAGGTCTTTTCATGTGTTTATGGTTGCTTTACATGGTAACATGTCACCTCCTGTTCATGTAACACTTTAAAGATCATCAAAAGGGTTACATAAATAAAACAAATTTACGAAACAAAAGGCAACAAAACTATTATGTATACTCTTTGGTTCTTACGGTAAAGTCACGTCGGTATACGTGATATTACCGAAAGAGCCAAAGAGTATGGATTCCTGCAGTCACGAAAGCTTCAAATCACTATTATGTTTATGTGGCAGCTGCTATATTGAACAGACGGGACGTAACATCAGCACAGGACTAAAAGAACACCAGAGAAATATTAAATTATCTCAAACACAACTGTCGGCAGTGGCAGAACATGCTTGTCAACAAGGACACTCAATTGATTTTGATAACGTTGAAGTGTTGTGTAAAACTAATTATTACTGGCAAAGACTAATTAGAGAATCCATTGAAATTGAGAGGAATAGAAATAACTTTAATCGCTCTGACAGCTACAGGCTTAGTGCGGCTTGGAAGCGTATTATTAAATAATACATATTAAAATTCATTATAGGGGAAACACATACTAATTAACGGATTACTAACGTAGCATATAATCACAATAACACATTACAACTAATTGCTAATCTACAACTCATTACTAATCATAACCATTGACTGATTACCAATCGATTATATAATTACAATACCCCCCACTCCGCCTCAAACCTCTGCACCTGAATGAGTTAAATGATGACGTCACCCTGCTGCTCTATTTAAGACCGGGAGCGAGTGAGGGCTTCACCATTCTGGCGAATTGCCCGATGATGCTGGATGTATTTACCAGCGAAACGTCATGCTACTCAAACTGTAAATGTGGATTCACTCTTAAACACACCAGTGGGCTAAAGTAGTGAGCTATTTTGTCTTTTGCCAACGTGACGCCTTTTTTTTACCGATTGGCCGTGTCGGGTGGTGGAGGGTTACGACACATTTATAAATAACGCGATCTAACCCCCAGAAACCTTTATTATGAATAAGTGCATAGTTTAGTCCTTATTCAGTGTCCACTCGCCGCTTCTTGGCTTGTCTCGTGTATTCATTAAAGGGAGCATCTCTTGTTCTTAGCTCTTTCGGTAAAGTCACCACGTTGAAGGGAAACAATAAAATAATAAAACATATATATAAAACAATAAAACAATTCTCACGACGTTTCGACCATAACACAAACGGTCGTCATATCTTGTCACTTTTTAGAATAAAGGTGTCAGTGTTTGTGCCAGTTAAAAGGGTAAAACCTATTCCTATATCTCGTTACTGGAAAAGGAGGTCTCATAATGTTAATGCTCACCCCGAGCCCTCAATACTCTGATAGTGCGCTGTTTTTGAGTTGTACGCCTTTTGGCGTCTTCTGGTCCAACACCAATGGAGACTAAAGGGCTCTAAGAAAAGCTGTCTCGGGTGGAGACCAATCAAATTCAAGGACAGTGCATATTATTATCAGAGTTGTCTTTTTTGTTTGCATTTTGACTGCTTGTGTTGTGGTCATTGCAAACATGATGCCTTGAATAAAGGTGTCAGTTTTTGTGCCAGTTAAAAGGGTAAAACCTATTCCTATATCTTGTCACTGTCCAGCAATAGTCTGCAAGCGTTGATGGGGCTCCATTTGCCCCAATACAATTTCTCCATTCTAGATTTAAAGCTTTCGTGACTGCTAGGATCCATAATACTCTTTGGTTCTATTGGGTAAAGTCACCACGTAGGTGAAAATAAAATAACAAAAAATCACGACGTTTCGGCCACAGCACAAGCGGCCTTCATCAGGTGAAGGGACGAGACTGTCTGGTAGGACAGCGCTGGAGTTTGTGTTGTGGTCGACACTCCAGCGCTGTCCTCCAGACAAGTCTCGTCCCTTCACCTGATGAAGGCCGCTTGTGTTGTGGCCGAAACGTCGTGATTTTTTGTTATTTTATTTTCACCTACGTGGTGACTTTACCCAATAGAACCAAAGAGTAATTTCTCCATTGTTGCAGTGTCCTGGTGAAATGGCTTGCCATGCGCATCGCTCACTGCTCCGCACAAAATCTAGATGGGAGTGCAGAACATTTATCTTTGTGACCTGTTAAAACCAAGGCTTTGTGTATGCCTTGAGGTTTTCCCACCAACTCCCTGTAGTTGTCTGCCTTGTTTCCGAGACAATGTGTTGCCACTAACTGGAAGGCTTTCCATGCCGTCTTTTCCTTGCCACGCGGTGCACTGTCAAATGCATCATTTTGAAGGAGTTCACGAATCTGAGGACCAACAAAGACACCATCCTTTATCTTAGCTTCACTTAACCTTGGAAATTTTCCACGGAGGTACTTGAAAGCTGCTTGTGTTTTGCCCATGGCTGTGACAATGTTCCATACTCTTTGGTTCTATTCGGTAAAGTCACCACGTAGGTAAAAAAATAAAACAGCAAAAATCACGACGTTTCGGCCACAACATAAGCGGCCTTCATCAGGTGAAGGGGACCAGGCTGTCTCGAGGACAGCGCTGGAGTGAAACACAGCCACGCTCAGACCGCGGACCTTTAAGCTGTGTGCGAGGAAACAAGGTGCCTTGACAAAGGAATTAGCATAACAAATTAGCATTTGATTGGCCGACTTAGCATAGAGGTGGCGTACGTGCGGGTGCACATGCCTTGTTTCTTGCAGTCAC